ACTAGAATGAACCCAAAGTAGGCTGAACAATTGGTTGGACATCTGTAAGACAGAACAGCTTCTAATTTGGAGCCAACACCCACAAACGCAGTGTGGTGCTGAAGGAAGCAGTCGACCCTAAAATTTAACTGAGAATCCTCTCAGCCCGTCACAATTCATCTCTCCGAGCAGTGATGGATGTCATCAACATTAAAACAGCTCTAGAATGAATTTCTGTGCTACCAAAGCAGAACAACAATAGAAAGGAGTGAATGTGTCCCCTATCAGTACGACTGAGGCCTCGATGTGTTGACTTGGCGGCGGCCCAGCTGACAGCTACTCAGGAAGCTCAGTGTTAAATGAGCAAATATTTAGTAGAGAAGTTACTGACAGCTGGTAAGAAAACTGCGAGCCAAGGAAGTAGGTCATTCGATGAGCAGTCACATGCACGTCCTGGTTTTATTTCAGCTCCGTCTGTGGTTCTGTGCAGAACGCGTTTGCACCGGACAGTCCGGTGAACACGTCTTGTGTACGAATGAATTATTGTTGTAAAGAATTGTTTGAATGCTCTAAAGTGCTCGATGGCTTTGTTTTTCTTTTCTCTGCACCTCCGAGGTTCATGGGTGTGAAAGAGCAGCGAGACGGGAGGGCGGTGAGGCCGGTCAGGAAGCCTGAGGAGTGAAGAGAAAGCACTCACCTTCCCCTGCCAGCTCGCTGTTGTCTGACTGTTTGCAGGATATTATCTTCTCCACCAGCTGGTTGTAGCTGCAGTTGCCCACTGCCTTGACAATGTCATGCATCTGCAAACAAAGATAAAAACTGTGGGAAAGAACGTTCACCAAGTGGCGTCGGTGTTGTTTTACTTAGTCGCTGTGTGAACTTGGTATTTTTTTTTGGTATATTCCATCTAAAGAACTGGTACCCTTTACTTCTCTTTATTTAGAATGACTGAAATAAAAATCACAGATACAGGACAAAGTTTATGCCTAAAAGATGCTCAAGTGAGAGACTGCAGGTAGATCACACTAGAAACTAAGAAGTACTTGTCAGCGTCAGTGAAGAAGATCTAAGAATGTGAAATGTTTTACGACACATCGGGAACTGGACAACGTTTAAACACCCGTATAGACCAGTTCCTAACAGAAGCAAAACCAGAAATGAGGTTAGAAACATAACCTCCAATCTAATATTCCTGTCCATGAAGCCAAATAACACTTGACAACAAAGAAATGGGAAGCTGAGATGAACAGAGGTACATTATTAGATTCTAATTAGTTACTAAGGGAGATGTGTTCGGTATGCAGGGGGGTGCTTTAGGAGACCGATTTCAATCGTCTAATAACATCTTCAGACTCCGCAAATAACGACAAATTGGACCCTGATCAGCTCAGACAAGTGCCGGGAAAAAAACCCACCAACTGCTAAAGTCATGTTTTCTGTTCGAGTGTATGTGACGCCCTAAAAAGAAGTTTTCTGTTATGATATGAAGGTTCTGAGGGAAACCTATTCACTCCAAATCCTATTAGGAGCTCCCGTTAAATGTTGAAAACCTGCTCCTCCATCGCACACAATACGGGAACTGTTGGGAAGATGGAGCGAATGCATTAAGGCACCTCAACTTTAGAAAGAATCGGAGCCCCGGAACGGCCCCGTAAATGCAAAAAGGTCGTTTATTTTGTGTCATGCTCAGTCAAACTATTCAACATGCCTCCTATTCACACAGTCTCTCTTTTATCTGGTTATGTATTCATCCCCTCCCTTCCTCCCTTTCCAGCTTTCTGAGGTGTTTCTCATATTTTGGTTTCATCGATTTGTTTTGCAATATTCATGTTCGATGGATAAACACGAAGGCCGCAGGACGTGTCAGAACGTAGAACTGCTTTAGGATTGTTCTGCGTTGTATGAAATGCTGAACTTGGAGGTAACTAAGGTTCACCTGAGGGCAAAAAAAACACATCACTGCCTTTCAGTTACAGTATATTTTGTGGTAAACCAAGAGCATGAAGTCATCCTGCGTCATCAGCAGTGAGCTAGCCGTCAATCCGTTGTGTTTCCTCATCTCGGTTCCTTTGTAATAAGTCAGTGTGAACATGAAGTGGACAAAACCCAAAATGCAGCAAAGAATCCGAATCTGGGTGTGATAGCAGCCAAAGACAACCGAGCATTTCAGTATTCACAGATGTGCTGAGGATAAGACAGGAGGTGAAGAAAACAAGCTGAGGTTTCAAGGTTGTGGAAAAAAGAGAAGTACCTGGGGGTCAACCAGCCAGCCGTGGTAAAGAGGGATGTCCAGCAGATCAAACACGATGCATTCTGGGGTGTACTCAAAGACCCGCACCCCTGTGAACTTCACGTTCACGTCCAGGCCGGTCTGCAGCTTGTGCAACACTGCCATGGCATCACTCATGTTCTGGAAAGCAGAAACAACACAGATTCCTGTTCAGAAATTACGTCAGTGAGACAAATTAACTTCCGCAAAAGACTCATTTGCGTGTGTGTGGCAGCTTCGTCCAGTCCGGCTGTTTGCTGCCTTATTATTCCTGTGTTTGATTTTACACCTTGAAAAGAAACCATTAGCTGCACAAAAATAACAGTTCTTTACACACACTCAAACCTTCATTTGGCTTCGTCTAATTCGTCTGTTTTATGGTTGTACCAGTGTGACTAATTTGAGATGTTTTCTGCACTTATTAGCTGTTCGCTGCACTTTCTGTCAGTCAGGCTACAACCACAGGAAGAAATGGAAGTCTCTGCCAGGAAACCGTGTGATATTACATTTCTGTGTCAGCTTTCACAGTCATCATCATATTTATATATATAGACAGATATTTCCCTTAATGAACGCCCTTTATTGTCATTATACAGTGTACAACGAGATCGGAGAGCTTCTCCTATTTTCAGTGCAAGTGAAAAACAAAATAAGGTGCAAAATTGTTCAGTTAAATATAAAGATAAAAAAAGATAAAAATATAAAAAGAAATAAAAGATTTAAGAAATAAAACAAGGAGTGGACGGGAGCAGGATGCAATATAAGGCATTTCTTAGATTTTTTTGGGCCTTTTTCTGCCTTTTTTTTTGATAGGAAAGCTGAGAGAGAGACAGGAAATTGGGGGAGAAGAATGGGGGAAGGACCTGCAGCAAAGGGCCATGAGCGGGTCTCGAACCCACGACCTCTGCATTGGGGACTGGAGCCCCTGAACATAGGACGCCATCTCAACCAATTGAGCCATCGTGGCGCTCCATTTCTTAGATTTTTCTGGATTTTTTTGCTTTTATTTGTGATAGAGGCCAGCAGTAATGGGAAAGGGAGTGAAGGGAACAGAGAGAAGAGGGATGACACATAGTTAAGATCCTCAGCCGGACTCGGGGGATGCTGTGACTACACGGTTAGAAACTTAAACCCTTAACCCACCGAGCCTTAGCTGAAGTGTTCCATGTTTTGTGCAGTCATGACAGACACATGATTAACTTCTGCTGCCCTTTTAAGGCTGTCAACTGAAGGTGTGTTATATAAGTTGAAATCTGCACCATTTTTTTTTTTACTGCATTTCTTAACTTTATTGTAACAAACCAGAGTTCATCCAAAGTTCACTGACATCTCCAGTGTAAAATATAAACAGTTACGGAGGCCAGTACGCCCTCTTCTTTTTAATAAATCCAAATAAATGGACGAGGATCGTGTTATTACAAGACTTTTGGTAAATTACAGCAGTTTTGCTCCGTTGATGTGTCACGTCTTTTCTTTTTCCAGATGATGGGAGATGACTCATTGTAGCAGAAGGTATGCGCTGACGTCACTTTTTCACATGATACCACCTCCCGCCACTATCACTCCGTGGCAAAACAAACCCACTGTTGCCGCTATGAACGGAGTGAGCTGTGATGCCAGGAGGGGGAAGAAAAAAAACCCAAACTAAAATCCGATCATCAGAACCTCCGACGCTCCAGTGAAACGCAGACAGAGGCTGAGCTTTGTGATGTATAGAGAGTGTGGAGCTTCCCACCAGGAGAACAACATTGCACAAAAGAAAGCCTGAGGCAGGAAAATGCCGAGAGCAGGTCTACCTTCATATCTGCAGAGGTGTACTGAGCTAAACCCCTCAAACCCACAACACAAAATGGTGTGAAAAGAGACAATCTTGGAAACTCCTGGAAATACGCAACCCCACCAAAATCTGCCTGATCAAAATGGTGCTTAAGTTTCACATGATGTTCTGTCACTCAGGAGTAATTTATTTTGTAAATATTTATTTTAATGGAAGAAGAAGAAAACTGCCTGCTTACTTTGTTAACGTTAGAGAGATTCTTAGAAAGCATTGCTTCATCTTGCTTCACTTTCTTCAACTTCGAATAAGA